TATTGCATTTGTGTTTTCATGTTGCTGAAGGAACTACTGCAGAGTAAAAGAGTATCTCTTAGTTGTCATCATATGTAGTCTTTTTTATATTCGTGTAAACAGAAATCCAAATTTGATATAACATAGAAATACAATTATTTATTAATTATTGATATCTTTAAAGGCCTATTGTCTCCGCAATAAGTCAACAGATTTATTGTATGGGAAATATTTTTGATAGAAATTTTAAGATTAAGGTGTAAAGTATGTGTAAAGTAAGGTAAGTAAAAAAAAGCGTTTTAATATAACGGTCATAACATTCATTCATAAACATTTATTGTTTATTGTGTTGCCTTTAAATTTGTTTGTGAAGGCAAGCAACATTAACCGTTATATCCATTATAGATCCGTTTTATATTTCTGTTAAAATCACTTAATTTTCCAAATAAAGTGAGAAGAGTACTTAATATAGCAGTAAGAGTTTACAAGAAAAAAGTTTTTCGTAAGTTGGTCCTTTTAAAGTTTACGACGACTACCGCATTCAAATGAACCACGAGCGATATAGGCTACGACTACAACATTGATATAATTTAAGGAATTAATATCTAGCGGCTTCATTGCCTTAGTCATGTCGTGCGAATAAATGTCACTTCCCAGTCAAAAAAATATTTAAAGCAGTAGTATTTGGAGGAAGACGTAGAGATAGATCGTGGCTCCAGTAATGTAATCAATTTAAGGGAGCACTAGCGGGACTTGATGTACCAGGCTGGAGAAGGCGCTTACACAGGGGAGTCGCCTGAAGAAACAATCCGAAACCCGGTTACGGATTGTTATAGCCAAAATAGAAAGTAAGTGAGGAATCTAAATCATGAAATCTCAAAATCTATCATGGAAAATGTTTCTAGGAATAAAAAGTACAATTACTATGAATACTCCTTTCAGAATTTTCAAACCATTGAAGTAATAAACACATGACTACAAATTTGGTATTATAAAAACTGTTTCTACAAAAAAATATTTCGAACTTGCCTTATTTACAGATTCTCTTTTGCTTATTTCTGTTATATTTTTTTTTTTGTAAACTAGTCGGTCGAACAAAAGAAAGTTCATATTCTTCAATAGATATTAAAGAAAGAAAGTATGAATACCACAAAAAACACATCTCACCTGGCCTTAATTAGACAAAATTCATACCAATCATCAGCTTCAAGTACATCGAATCTAATTCAGTACTACGAAATCAGTACTGACAGCCAACTGGGTATTCAAAGATTTATTTTAGTCATTAACGACTTTTGTCGAATTGTGGTTCTATGATTGATGAGAAAACTGTAAGCCACCTCATGTGTCAGTATCCATCTTTCAGGACAATTTCTATACAATTTGCCGTAAAATGTAATGCATATAAAAATCGGCTTATATAGAAGATATATCCTAATTGAAACTGATTCGGCAGTAGTATGTAGATAAACTATGTAGAAAAATATTTCATAAAATTTATGTTCAAAGAAATAAAAGTAATTAATTTTTTTTTGATATTATTTAACTGCAATATTTCGAATAGTACACCGATTAGTATATATTCTTAGTGAAACATTTTCTGAAGCATATTGTCTATCACTACCTAGGAATTGGAATTGTAACAGTTTTGTGAAAGCATACTTTTTTAAACAAGTATTTTTCAAAAATCAGGAAATAAATATACTTTTGAAATTCTAAATTCATATCCCCAAAATAGTATTTTTCAAAGTTATACCATATTTAAAATTTTTATAATATACGCAAAAAATAAAGCTTTTACTGTTTAGGTATTTTAATAGAGCACATTATAGAGCACTGTAACAAGAATTCTTTTAAAACTGAAGCTAAAAATTTAAAAAAGTTTTATGTAAACTTTTTTTTAAGTCTTGTCGTTTAGGTCCATCTTGACGAAAACCCTTAAAGCTTTGTGCTGAAATACCCTTCGAAAATTATCTATCAAGATTTCAATAATGATGTTAATCGCACCTATTGGCAAACTTCAAACAATGTAATGATATACGAAAAATAAATATTAATAATTTAATATTAGCTCACATTCACCAATGAAGCCCATTGGTCTTTAAGTTCTTAAAAATTATAAAAATTATATGATATACGATAGTAGCCATTATACATGATGACATTATTATGCATTATGCTTTTTTCATTAGCATGATAACAAATACTTGAAATTTTTAATAAAGTAAAAGTCATGTTCAGGTTTGAAAGAAAAAATTATAGTTTCAAAAAAGTAGTTGCAAGATATTAGACCCTTGTACCAATCAATCCAAACCGCACAGTTTGTCAAGTAAATACAATTTTTCTACAGGCAGAATTTGCTGAATAGAGTTGTATGTAAAATCAACACCACCATTTTCGATTTTTAATTAAGAAGAAATTGCAGTCTTATTTGTTTGAGGCTATCATATACCGTATTCAAAAAAAAAAAAACTTAGCTCTAATAGTAAAGTTATTATAGGCATACTCTAATATTATGCATATAACAGGTTCCTCAGTGCGTATGAGTGCTGCAGAAATTGTATTAATCGAATTACGAAAGATATTGAAATAAATCGCAAACACAACTATAAGAATTTCTTGTGACATATATGTAAGCTATTTTCTTATACTGACGTGACTTTAAAGAATAAAAACCGTACGATAAAACGTTTATTTATATATTTATGAACATACCAAATCTCCGGTAGTCTTGTGGTTAATCTTTATACCCTTTACCCAACAAAAGGTATACCTATTAGGTTTATCAAAATTTTTGTAACGCATTGAAGGAAACGTCGTACATCCCATGAAGTAAATATATAGTCTAAATAAGCTCGACAAGTACATAAGAGAGAATACACAAAATTATGTTCGTATTGCTTCAGATTTAGATATAACGGATATATAAACTGTCGAATCAGACAAGAGTTTTCGTCTGAAAAATTTTTATTTTTAAATATATCCACTTCAACTTTAAAACTCTAGCATAATTTTTAAAATATAACCTCATTTGTTGGATTTGCTGAAATCGAACCATAAAGCTGCCATATAAATTGAAGAAAGGCATCACATTTTTCTATTTTTGATACAAATATTCAAATAAAATTTGGTGCAGAATGTACCTTTTATGATACAAGGATCACTAATTATATTTTGAGCCTAATAATGAAAAAATACGCACTTGTCGTTGAAAATTGCTTTATTGTTTCTCGAAGTATTCTCCTTTATGATTAATACAGATACACTCGGCATGCGTTCGAACCATTTGTCAAAGCATTTTTCCCAATCTTCTTCATGGTTTTAGACACATCCAAAACATGGTTTTTAAATGCAACAATGGTTTCTGCTTCTTCAGCCGACAAAAATTACCAATTTATTCTTGCTGTTGACATTCGTGAACAAGAAGAAATCAGTGGGTGCCAAATCAGGACTGTACGGCAGATGAGATGATCCGTCAATTCGATTTTTTGAGTGTTCAAACTGTTGAAAAGGTTGTTAGACGAGATGTGTGAACACTCGCATTGTCTTGATGGAGATAGAGAATTTTCCGACGGCGCTTGTTTGTTTTCCGTATTTCACTGAAGACTTCCGGTAAACAAATGGTCCAAATGACCTTTTTACATTCCTGTAATGGTGTTGTTGCCCCATGAACAGTTTTTCTGAAAAAACAAGCAATTATTTTTTTTGTAATGTTTTGAGCATGAACAACTTTTATTGGATTTGGTTAATCTTGAAACACACACACAGTTGACTGCTGTTTATGTTCCGGCTCATACGCATATATATATATATTCATCACCTGTTATAATCTTATATACGTCTATATACAATCCAACGAGAACAAACCTTTCTCACGGCTAAATAATTGTGCTATATTTTATATACGAGTATGTTTGTGGAACTAATGCCTAGAGTTCCTTCAATCTCAATCTCACAGTATGTCGCGTGATGATTATCAGTTTACATTATCAGTTTTTGCACAGCATCAATGTTTTCTAGCACAACAACTGATTTCAAACGACCTTCACGAATATGAACTTCGTCAGTAAGTGAACTGCGACCACGATTAGAATCATTGTACGAGTACCACCATTTCACAGTCGCAAAGGACGGTGCTTTATCCCCAAATGTAGAAGTAAGTTTATCGATGCGCTCTTCTCCTGATACTCGCAATCAACGTGGAATGTCGTAATTAATCATCGTAAACATATTCAAAATATGAATAGTGATCCTCGTATGACAGAATACACAAAGTTTTAACATATCAATTCAATTTTAAATATAGTTGTCATATAAACTGAACAATTGTTTTTAATTGAAAATTCTTTCTTATTATCTAAAATATATACTTTAAATATATAACTTTTTTAATTTAACGAAATAATCAAAAAACCATCAACACCAAAAGCACCTTCAACTTTAATAGTTAATGGTATATTAGCAGCTCTAATTAGCATTCTTTTTTATTATATTATATATTTGTTATTATGCATTATATACATATATGTTATCATATAAATGGGATCTTAATGTAGATTCAAAATTGTCTATAAAATGCATCATCACTTTCTTTCTTTTAAATTTATTTTTTTTCTTCATATTTTCTTTGATTCACGTCAATAAATGTGACTATATACTACATTCTTCTTGAGTTAAGTCAGAAGAAGAGAATATGAGCTATCATATAATAATATTAGGCAACTTGCAGGAAGGTGACAAAAGATGTTGAACGATAATGAACAATATATATAAAATTTATTCACAATATTTATTAACTATAAACAAATCATCTTGCATATTTATAATTCTCACGACAAGTCATAAAAACACTGATTATTGACTTCTGTTGACTTCTCACGTTCTATTCTGTTCTTCACACAATATTTATTGGGCATTATTTACACAAATAAAGTTCAATTTTATTATTATTATATTTTATTGATTTAATTCTATTGAAAGTATAAGACTAAGAGTTTTCTATATTATTTTTTTTTTTTCAGGAAACTTTACCGGCACCAATAGCTACTGAATCGTCGGTTGGCAGTGACAGCAATGCAGATACCGACCCTTATGCTGGTCTAATGAAAGACGCTGATAAACTTAAGCTTATGTTACTTGCTTGGAATTATCAGAACTCAAATGCAGTACGAAATGGTACTGAAGGTCCTGACTTAGGCGTTGTTGGTGGACTATGGGCGCAGTATCAAAATGCTTTAGCACAAAATGCGGCAGCAAGTGGCAAAATAGATACTTCATTGTCACCAGTACCTCGAACTGATATGAATTCACCAATGGAAGGACAAGACGAAACAAATTCATCTGGGCAAAAAGAAGAAGATGAAGGATCTGAAGATGATTCTGATGATAAACTAGACGAAAAACTAGCCACACATGATCCAGAACGACTGAAAGCATTTAATGTGAGTAAAGAAATAATTATTCAAAACAAAAAAAATAGATGAAAAAATCAATTTTACTATTGAATTACCATACATGCTTCCAAGTCGGTCAGTTTCGACTTTAATATATATAGAGTATTAAGTAGATACTTCGTTGACATTTTTCAGATCTTTGTAGTTGTGAATGAGAGAGATTACAGCAAATAGTCGATTATACAATAGAAGTGCTGTACATGATGGAGGAGGTTGTCTTATCCTTTTCTAGACGTGCATTTGAGCTTTGGTCTGTGTAATTTATACAAAAAGCTATTGCTGAAATTCTAAGTATGTATTATATATCATTCTTAATGTTCAAACACTGTCACTCAAGTCAAAAAAAAAAAATTGACAGTCATTTAAGTACATTAAAGTTACTTTTTTAAAAAAAGAGATCTCTTCAAAATGAAATTATTGTTGCAAAATTTTCAAAATTTCTGAGAACTTTATGGAAGTAGTAAACTAAATTGGAAAGTCACATTTCATTTTTTCACACCTTGTCCCTTTCTTTTTTTCAAAGAAAAACGTATGTTACTTCCATATTAAATACAAACAGTCAATTTGCTATGAAACCTTTTGGGCTGCAATAAAAGTCGCAGTTGTCCAAGTTCTATAAGATTATTAATTCAACCTAGCCCTACACACATGCAGTAGCTTTTTTTAATACCAAAGACAAAACTACTACATTATATTGGTAATGGGTATTAATGGGCGTATGAAATTAAACGAATTCTAAGCAATGGGTTTTCGGTATCAAAACCAAGGTCATTCCTTGACAGAAAAAACAATGTCGCACTGAAGAAACTGGAATCCTTTTTCAGTATCAACAGAGAAATAGGCGGGTGAAATAAATCTATTCAAAAATTTTAAATCAAAACATCTCTACTATCTTAGAAATAAAGCAGCTTTGATTTCTGCTTTCGAAGCCTCTTTTATACCATCATTAATTATATGGTACCGTTCCGCAATTTGTTTTCCTGTAGAATAAGACCAAACAATTCTCCCAAGCAGACTAGTTTCAGAACAGTAAACTCGGCAGGACGTCTTCAGAAAAATTAAAGAACTTAGAGATTAATCGATTCATATAATTTAGACTGAATTTTGATTCTGTTAAAATGCAATACATTGGCTACATAAGTAACAATTTTTGAAACAATGATTTAGAAATTTAAAGTAATAGTTGGCATCACTCCACGTGTACTTTAATAGAGATAGCATATACACATTTGCTGATAAAATACAAAATTCATAATATAATAAAGTTTTATATGTTTTTCTATTTTTTTTATAGATGTTTGTACGCTTATTTGTTGATGAAAATCTAGATCGCATCGTTCCAATTTCAAAGCAACCAAAAGAAAAAATTCAAGCAATTATTGACTCCTGTGCCAGGCAGTTTCCAGAATTCAGTGACCGCTCCCGAAAACGTATACGAACGTACTTGAAATCATGCCGAAGAAACAAAAAGACTCGAGATGGTTGGGACAATACAGTAAGTTATAAAAATACCAATGATCTAAATGATCAAAATGACTATATTTTTTTCACAATAGACGAATACATCATAAATAATTTTTAATAACATGTAGCCATACATACATACTACTATACAGTTTAATTTATAAATTAATTAGAATAAATATTTTAAATCTACTACATTTATATGGCAGTTTAAACCCTTAATTATGAATTAAAGAACTACCACTGCTATGGCTACAGGGGATCTAAATTCCAGCTCAAATATCAACTTTCCTTTACTGGTTTTTGAAAAGTTTGTATTCACCACACTATCTAAATATAGACTTAAAAAAATATAAGATTATTTCATTTACTTGAAAATAATCTCCCATCTTCTTTTAATATTGACTATAATTCCATTGATTGCCTACCTTACAATATATTTTTTATGAAACTATATTTTTAATATGTTAATAGTTTGTTTATATTTACTGTTTTTTGATTTATTTTTTTTTATTGCACTACTTTTTTTTGCACTTTTATTTTTATTATTATTTTAAATATTTAACAGTACCATTTTATTTTATTTCATTTTTTTTTCGCGACCATCTCTATGTCAATTTATCAATTTACCAACTTTATACACTTCTTTTGTCACAACTCATAATAAAAATAATTATTTTTATTATTTTATGTTAATAAAACTACAATATTTTCTTGATAAGCGTCTCTTCCACTCCTTTATATTAGTTCCCGTAGATCCTATGAGAAGCAAAGAGCCATTTTTTTTTTGTGGATTTGTTTGTAATCAGATAGTTTCAGGTGAGGAGACATTTGGTCCACTTCAACTAAGTTCGGTGCTGGGATTGCCAGCCGAGCCTTTCACTGCTTTTAACCACAAATATATTATACATATATATGTCTACTATCAACATCAAAATTTGCAAAGATTTTGAAAATCCTAATTATAACGTTTCTAAATAAATGAATAAATATTTTTTTATTTATTATGTATGGATTATTTGGCATATGGAAGTTTTATAATCTTATTTACCCTAATTTTCCGTTTGTTAAAAGTTGAACGGGAATTTAATAGTAATGTAACAGTCAATTGTCTAAATTGTAATAAAAATTTATTTTATATGTCTATATATATGTAAATATATATATATATAAATAAATTTTCTGTGTTGTAATAATTCAGTCCTTAGTTCGAAAAGACTTATTCACACAGACATAACTGAGTCACCGAAGACTGAGTACAGCATACATAAAAGAAGAGCCAAAATACCATTGCAATAAAATATTTTTTGGACTTATTTCTCTCAATATTACTCTGTCTTGAATTTAAATAAAATCTTGAATCAGTAACAGAATATGTCGTGCAATTATAGAATTAGCAAAACATACTATATTTTCTTTCTCTCCTGATTTTTATACACTCTGTTGATATTGTGTCATCGAAACTTGAAGCAATATAATAAACACAATAAGGGGTATTCACGATTCTCCGGTAGAATCGTCCACTTGCTACCCAAGTGCCATAGAAACAGTTAAAAACGGCAACAATCAAATAATTTACTAATTTAATAATTTAATTTAATTTAAATAATTTAATAATTTAAATAATTTAATAGGCTACCACTGTAGCCTATTACGCGATTACCGAGCTTGTTACTCAAGCTCGCGAATGCTCTATATATTTTTTTGTTTATACTATTATTTCAATGCATGGTCATATATGTATATTTTTTTAATTGTAAATATATATATATTTTTCTATCAATTTCAAAGCGAATTTACTTGCTTAATAATAGAATTATTGTTTTGGAACACATTTTTGTTCCATCGTCGAGGTACTATATATTATATAGTACAATAACCAAGTTATTTTAAATCTCTGGTATTATTAGTACTACCAAAGATCTTTGGTTCTTATATTGTATTATCCATTTTAAAGCAAATTAGATAGCTTAATAATAGAATCACTGCTTTATAACAGATTTTGATTTCATCATCGAGGTACAATATATTATATAGCGCATTAACCAAGTTGTTTTAAATCTCTGGTATCCTTAGTACTACCAAAGATCTTTGATTCTTATATTGTGTTATTGCTCATTTAGTAATTTTTTCATTTTTCTTTAGTCCATTGTCCAATACCGACCACTTAAAGGACATGAGGGCATTTTAAAAGTTGCCCTTCTTGTACATGCTTAAACTGATCCGAGAATTATAGACGATCTCTTTCCTATACACAAAATTAAATTGAAATATATTATAATTTAAACAAAAAAATTTTTATACTACGCCTACATACAGCTTAAATTTTCATTTTAGACCCGTCCTACACCTGCACATCTCACATCCGTGCAAGCTGAACAAATTTTGGCAATTGCTTGTGAGAACGAATCAATGAACGCCAAACGTATGCGCATAGGTCTAGAACCCATTACACATGCAATACCAGCCCCAGGTTCAGTAGTGGCGGCTGCTGCAGCCGCTGTTGCTGCCACAAGTTCAGTAACTACAGTAGGTGGTAGTAATTCGACAATGACATCAGTTCAAATGCCAACTGAGGGACTTACTTCAGTTACAGCAACAACTGTACCATTTGCTACTAGCACTAGTTTCGCACGTTCTACAACAAATTCAGAAACAGCTGACCCATTGTCTCTGACGCCGGCTGTTGCTGTGGCGGCCGCAGCAGCTGCTGCAGCTGCCGCTTCATCCAATGCAAGTGGCAGCATAAACTCAGCACGCAGTTCACCACTAGCACTCAGTTCGAATGCAAGTATCGGGGGAAGCACAACAAGTTTAGATATAAAACCCTTGACAAGTGCATTGGCCAATGGAAATACAATAGCCAACGGTATTGCTGCAGCTTCCACAGCAGCTGGTTTAGCTGGACTACCAGCTACAAGTCCACTTTATAGGTCATCGGATTTTGCGTCGCCTTCAGCAGCGGTGCCATTTGTGGCAGCTGCAGCTGCAGCTGTGGCTGGACGTTCAACAACTTACCCCAACTATTTTCCAAGTGTGACCGGATTAGGCAATGGTAAATTAATTTGTCTAAATGTTTTCTTTTTTTTACTAATACTTATGTCCAATGAATTTTAAAGCAACTACTATAAACCTTTCAGCTACACCTACTGATCTCTCAATGAAGAACACGTCTACCAACATATCCTCCAACTCATTTATTAATGTTTCCGGCAACTGTAACAATAATTTACCCACAAATACAGCTTCTGCGTTGAGCAATATCTCAACCAACATTAATAACAATAACACTTTGGTTACCGCCACACAACTGCAACAAATTCAACAACAACAACAGCAGCAGCAGCAGCAGCAACAACAACAACAGCAGCAGCAACAGCAACAACAGCAACTCCAAGCGGGACAGCAGGGTATAGCCACAGCTTCATTGGGGGCTCAAATTGATACGGCTGCAGTGCGCGCACCCCCACTACTAACGCACAAGCTGAGTCCCAATGAAATAACCGCAGCACGTCAAGTGATTTCTGCCTATCGCGAGAGCGCAGCATTTTTGTTGCGCACCGCCGATCAAGTCGAACAATTACTCATACAGCAACAGTAAGTCGCTGGCCATATTGCCAGTTAGTAGAATTAATTTGTGAAATTATGGTTAAAATATGGTAAATTTACTAATATTCGTAAGGTGATTTTGTGTTTTAATTAAAATTTTATGTATTTTTTCTCTTATACATTATACATACTCGCACACATGACAACACATAAACGTTACAGAGTAACAGAACTACACGATGTAAACAAAGCCATAGTTATTTACTACGGATCCTGTGTTTAACACACAGGCTGTTCCTATTTCAATTAATATAAATAATCTAATTAAATTAGTCAAAAACGAATAAAAATAAATTAAAATAATTCAAATGCCAAAAATCTAACAAAAATAGTCACAGTCGTTAAAATTGCAACTTAATGTTTTTAATGCTACAAATTATACGTTATTATAGAGGGTGATCAATTGGCCACCCACAGATAAGATACCATTCTAATAGCAAAAATTCATAACCTAAAGTAATTAATCCACTTAACTTCAACACTCAACTTACAATAAATGTTATTTGAAAATAAACGTTGGTAATCTAGCAGATACAAAACTTGAACTACATGAAATCATTTTCAAGATCTATGCAGACACAAATTTTTGTTTAGATGGATGGATATAACAATTCAAAATATAATTTTTAGTCGAAATTCGAAGTCGAAGTGAAAAAAAATCCTCAAATACTTTAATTAAATACGCAAATACACATGAAAAGCTTTCGAGAACAGTTAAATTACAAAAATAAAACTTCTTATGGGTAAAAAAAATATTAGAAAGACGATCCACTAATTTGAAAAATGTCTCAAAACATCAGGAATTTATCAATATTTATGTAACGACATCCCACAGATATTCCGCATTTCTACTACTGTTTTGGTGACCACCCTTAAGTCTATTCCGAGTCCACGGTTCCAGTCATTACTGCTTCCATTCACTGCTTATTTGTCTATTCCACTTTAAGACATCTTGTAAGCTGCACATTTGTCGTACATCTTCGTTATTTATCATTACTTTGGCACTAGATTAAACTATACAGATATAGCATAAGATGCTCATTTTGGTTGCACTATTGCATCTTGCCGCTATTTGGATATTGACATTAGTTTCGATGTGCACATACTAGGTCTGTTCCACGAGCTACTTGTAGTAAAACTCAAGTAAAACACAAATAAATCACAAACTGAGAGCGTAACAGAAATAAATTAAAAAGTGAGAGCGTAACACAAATAAAGTACCAAATTACGCTCTTTACACAGATTTTCAAGGAACAGCTTTGTGTAAAATCTGATGAAAACACCAGTGCCGCGCAAATAAATAATACAAAAATTTAAATTCAAACCGAAACAACTGATTCATACATCACACAAATTTTACTGGAAATAAAATGTACGAGTAAAGTCTGTATAGCATTTTCAAATTTCGACAGGGATGTTACCCTCTCTCAGATGCTCACTTTTACTCAAAAATTTACTGGTGGAACGCACTGTTACATACAGTGTTACTCAAAGTGACTACGAGTAGCTTGTGGAACAGACCAATTAATGTTTGACCTTATACTTATGTGTGTTGTACCAGATAACATCCCTTAATTATACAGATATAATAATATCCGAATAATACTAATATTTCGTGTATCCACACTTTGGTTTAAGCGCATTAAATAGGTGAGAAATATGCAAGACTAAAAAAAGTTCTATACTTTCAAAAGCTTCAAAATGCAAAGTATATTTAGGCCGTGTGCGAGTTTGAGTAAATTGATGGTAAATTAAAGAAAATAATAAATTATGTCGATATGGCAGCGAATGTTGGTAATACCTAGAATTTCGAGTAGGGTAAATTAAATAAAAATTAGTTAAATTAGGTGTTAACATTGTGTAAATTTTATAAGATGTTTAATAAATAAACAAATAAATTTGAAAACTTTTAACCAAAAATAATAAATAAGTACTTTACCTCAATTTAATCGAACTTGCACACGGCCTTAGTTAAATATTTGCCAAACCCATACACAACTACACAACTAATTTTTTAAATAAAATTAAAGAACATAAAATATAATACTGAATTCACATATGAAACGTTGGCATCCCTTGGTTGATTACCACATTCGTTTGTGATGTGAACAGACATTTTTGCAAACTGATTATGGAAATGGTGTGTTCTCACTCAAAGTAATTTACAAATGTTATTGAGATGTGCACATCCCACCTGCATTCAACGCAATTGCACTTAAGCGTAGACATCCCTAACGTATTTACTTACGAAAAGTAAAAATAAATAGAGTGTACCAGGGTTTAGATAGCAAATTACTTACAATTTCCAAAAAAAAATTTTTAACTCGAAAACTCCATAAGTCGAATCTTTTCTTTGTAAAATGGTACTTCGAGTTATGGAAGTATGATTGTATTTTAAAATTTTTAATTAAATACGGTTAAATCACCAAAATATTCTCAACGAAATTAATTGTATGCCAAATTAGCTACTTACTTGGCTAGATTGTAAGGCTTATACTGCCCAAACCATTACTCCCTTTGTGCCCCAAAAATTACTCATCCACAGTAGATGATTCATGTGGCCGATAACAAGTCCTCAACTTGTTATTTACCATCTTAAATACATTCCTAATTCTTGCGGTCTTGTTGTTTCAATGCCGAGCTTCATCGGTAAAGCGCCATCTAACCCAAAACTACACTTATTATATATTTTTCTATTAAACGTTGTAAAAGTTTTTTAAAAATTTGTTGTTCAATTTCAATAATTATAACTTATATAAATATATATGTAATACGTATATTCGTAGATAATGTGAGAGAAATGTAAATAATAAAATCGAAATCGGTTCGAAATAGTATTGCGCACCAGAGAGAGATGTTGGTAAGTGATAAAGAAAAAGATTTCCCTCAAGCACAAAGAACCCTCTAGCGAGAGTTAAACTGTGTCAAAACCGATTTAAACAAGTTTTATGTGTTTTAACGAAAAGTGCTGTTAAGATCAGATAATCGAATTTAATTTTTTTTACGTTAGAAAAACTTAACGAAATAAACAATGCTATCGACAATATGTGAAAAAAATTTCAAACTTCTAACCAGCGTAAAATCTGTGTTCTCCGCTATAGATAGATATATAGATAAAATAATGGATTTAATCATGCCCTTTTGATTAAAATTAGTGTTAGGTGACTTATAATGTTTAAAAGGTATGTGGAGATTTTGAATATATTTTTTACAGCTAAGCTAAGTTTTATCATACAAAATATGTATGAGAAAACAACGAAACAGTGTTTTATTATTTTTTTTAATTATATATTTTCTTGAAGTGAAGTTTGAAGTGGCTTTACAGACAACACTAATGATCTTTGTAAAAAATTTCGGATAACACTGTATAAATTGCAAGTACAAAAGATATAAATTGGTTGTCATGCAAGACTAAAATATGATTTTTAGATACGTGGTTTCTACGGTATATATAAGTTGACAGAGGAGACAAATTCCTGAAACTCTAGATAAAGAACTTCACCCTTTTATAATATAAAGCAGATGTGAAAATGCAAATATCACTGGAAAGCTTACTGGAAATAACTGAAATTTCAGTGGATACTGTCGTTGAATCCAGCGAGTTGGGCGTGTTAGACCCGACTGACTGTAGTCAGGGTATGGGCCAATGCTATATATGCTACTCAAATAAACAAAGAAGAAATACACACAAAATTTGTATCAATTATTAACACTCCATATATAAGAAAACTGTGAGCTCCACAAAATCTTCGAAGTAAAGAATTTTAAATTAAATATTGTTTACGTCTTCTCTTAAGTATACAAGAAATGTTTGTATAAACAGTTGTCGTCTGGGCAGGGAATTCAATACCGGATAAATTGACATATTTTTATAAAAATGTATCGAAATACAAAAAAATGTGATTATTTTTTTTTTATTTTCCAGATCTTTTCAGAAATTAGTTTAGTGAGTAGAAAGTGCATTAGTCCAAATGATTTGATCAAACACGTAGGTATTGATATTTTGAGGGTTTACTTAATATATGCCGTCCATGTGCCTCGATAAACTGTTCAAATGCTTTCAACCTCGGACTAACCGAATAGTTTGACAATGCATCAATAATGGGTTAGGAATGCATTATCTATTTTTTTACATTGAAACATTATAGTATAAGTTTAAGTAATCATGTTTGCTTTCTCTTTGAGTACACTTTTAATTACAATTTGTTTCCAAATATTCTCACACACATTACTCCTTCTTTGAACAGGATCGGTTTTCGGTATTCCATAGAATGCTATAACATCGGTTGTCATAATCATCGGTCTTTACGCTTATGTTTAAAAAACGATTGTGCCCAGACGAATTATTTTTGATTTGGCAATGCAACTTTATTTTTTTGTTTTCTCTATTTTGAACACCTACTTATAATTTTTCTGAGAAAGAATTAAGGAATTGCGTTTATAACCAATATTTAATTATATATCTTTTATAAACACAATTATCTAGTAGAATTTTAAAGTGTTTCGAAACACTTTTTCCATTATTGTCTATAAAGATTCGTATAATTGAAAAATATTATTTGATTGAATAAAAGTGAAAAAATAAGTTCGAAATATTGAATTTTAATTTTCTTTCGAAAAGAGATTTTTTAGTTTTACACCATTTAAAAATTTTACTGGGTCATCTCTGCTTATGTATTTGAAAAAGTTTGTAGGTGTAATTGATTCAGAATTTTGAGTTCAGCTCTATTTATGCAGGGAAAGCAGAGACAAAATATGGAAACCCTACGAAGAATGTTTTGAGTAGAATTCTTATACTAATTCTTATACGACGGGCTAGACATCGCTGGTTTAAAATGGTGGGGTGTATCATTTTAAGGAATAACGAATCCAAAAATTGGTCTAAATCAAAGAAGTTTATATTCTCTGGTCTAAATATTCCACATAAATTTATACTATGTGAAGAGACTCGAATAGAAGATTTTTTCATTCAAGTTTGCGTTCCAGTTTAATTAAAAAATTTTAAATCGGTTTATTCGGTTTATTTTCGTGCGAATATTTCGAATCATGTTGCAAATAATTTTGTTCATCCTTTTTAAAAACCATAATACTTCTAGATTTTTTGATAACTACTATATATGATTTTTGAACTATCAGTCACAGAAGTTTTTGCAATTAAAAAGCATCGCGTGTGAATAAAAAGGTAGTGAACTGTACAAAACTGAACCGAAATAGGCCAATATATATAGAAGCGCTCGAATAGTAATGAAGATATATGTATATATATTTTCTCCGTTCCCTGTTTTCTGTTCCGTTTGAGTT